GAAGCAGGGATCATGTTTCTCAGAAATCTCTTCAGGTGTGAGGGGGTTTGACGTCATGGTAGGAATACACTCAGCCCCGTAGCTAGGGAATTTTGAAGGAGGGGGCATCGAGGAGCCCGCCAGCTAATTAAATGAAAGTACAATGCAGGTGGTATGTTAGAGCACTTTGGGGGCAGCCCGGGAGGGATAGGGCCCAGAAGAAACACTAGGGGGCCGGGCCCCGTGGGGCCCCCATTAGCTACGGGCCAGAATACACTCCCCTTATTTTGGGTTTCTTGGTGCAGGGGTTTGGCCTGGGCATTGACTTTGGGGGGAGGGCATACCCCCCCCTGGTTTTTTTGTTTTTTGTTTTACAAAAATATTTCTCATTTATGTTACATTTTAGAACTGGGACATAACTACATATTCAAAACACCATCCGAGCAATCAGATATTAAGTTCATATGAATTAGTTTTGTAGAACCCACATTGTGAGAAGTTAAGTAACCTAATAAAGGAAACCAGTTTTCTACAAATTTGGATTATATTTCCATTCTGGGTGTGAGTATGGCTAAGCTGGGCCAGCAGCACCGCTAAGGTGATCCTGCTGGGGCGGCATTAGAGATGTGAAGGCCCGGAAAAAACCCCGGAAAAAATCAGAAAAAACCCGTTTTTTTTCCGGTTTTTTCCCTGAAGCTTTTTTTGTTTTTTTTCCGAAAAATTGGAAAAATTGAAAAAAGAAAAGAAAAGAAATTGATTATGGAATGTTTTATTTTAACATGATAAATAAAATATTTTAAGACAAGGTGTTCAAATATTTTCCAAATCATTTCTAAAATATATAATGGTATCAGATTGATCTAATTTCTGTGCACTGAGGACAAGCAAGTCCTAGGTTACAAACTGAACTCTCCAATGCAAGAACAAGATGCATTTCTTCCTTTAGGAGGTGTGATTGTCAGAAGAAAATAAAAAGGTTTCAGTTTTGTTTTTGCATGTGGGTGGGTATTCTGTTTGTAATAATTGTTTGGGTACACTATATTTTTAATATGCTAGTTGTGATAATTTCATGCCAAGTAAAAATGTCCATAGTCATTTTTTATGTTCCTAAAGTAACAGAATGACTTTCAATCTAGAAAAGACAAAAAAAATGCTAATGTAGCATTTTTTTCAAATTTTCCGAAACTTTCCTTTTTCCCGAAAAAAAACGGGTTTTTTTCTGAGCTTCAAAATTTCGGGAAGTTTTACATCTCTAGCCAGGAGGCAACATCAGGGGAAGGCCTCGGCCTCTCTGCCCTGTTGTTGGCCCTTCAGAGGAACTGGTTGGCCTCTGTATGAGAAAGGATGCTGGACTAGATGGAGTCCGCGCACTTAACCACGACACCAAACTGGCTCTCTTCTTCCAATCCAATCTCTTCTTCTTCTCTTAAATGCCGCCCTCAAAATTTCCGGAAATTTTACATCTCTGGGCGGCATCCCTGATGAGTTAAAGTACCCTGGTCCAGCTCCTACACCTGACAGACACCAGCCTGTCTGGTGTTGGGGGGGTTATGTTTAAAGGCATCGCAGAGGCTGGGCCAGCAGCAGGGCTAAGGCAATCCTGCTGAGCAAACCTCCTCAGCGGCTGTAAGCATCCTACCTCTTCTCCTACACCTGACAGGTACCTGCCTGTCCAGTATAGGAGGGGGAGGGGGAGGAGTGTTAGAAGCTACTGTGGAGGCAGGGCTGGCAGGGTCCCTAAGGGGTTACTGCTAGGGTGGGCTCTCTCATGGCTTTAAGCACCCTGCAACTGCTGCTGCACCTGACAGACAACTGCCTGTCAGGTGTAGGAGAAAGGAGCATGTTTGAAGCCATAGGGAGGCTGGGCCAGCAGCTTTGCTTCACCTCACAGGCAGTTGGCCACTCCTGATTTCCTCAACTGTCATTAGCTCTCTGTAGTCCCCTGTAACTTTTTTTTTTAAACCTCAGAACACTGAGGTCTGCAGCTGACCAATCAGAGACTGGGTGGGTGCAAGGAGGCAGCAGCCTGGCAGCTGCATAGGAATCTATGGGGGAGCACATTTTACCCCTTTTGACCCACTTAAGGGTTGAATTTCTAAAAATCCCTTCATAGTGAGCATCCACCTCATGGTAGGAGCGCTCTCCCCGAATTTGGTGTTTCTAGGTCCAGCGGTTTGGCCTGGGCGTTGAGTTTACCGTGAGGGGACTTTCTTATATATATATATATAGATTTGGAATGCAAAATCACATCTGATGTGCCTTCCTTATCTTGATTAAATAAAACCTACACTTAGTAGCACAACATTTTTTGAAAGAGGAATCATAAGCAACAATGGCACTTTAAAAGCAAAAGCCATTTTTCCAATTAAATTTAAAGAACGGCTAACAGCTGTTCAACAGATTTACTCAATCAAACAGGGCAGAATGTATTTATCATACTGTGCACTTATGGCTGCAATTCTATGCACTCTTACATAGGAACAATTTTCACTGAGCTCAGTGGGATTTTCTTCTAAGTAAACACACACAAGATTAGACTGCAAATACCCTATTCAAAGCATCAACACGGTAGATTTAAAATTAGGCTATAATACACAGTCATGTATATCTTTTCTGTAAGCATTGTCTATGAAGGAAAGTAATCAGTATTTAAATACTTCTTGGCACTCAGGACCCACTTCTAAAGGAAATGTTCTCTCCAACTGACAAATATGGGTACAGAGGTAAAAATTATAAAGAGTGAGGCCAAAGGGTATAAAGGACAAGAGTCTGGTTGCATTTTCATCCAAAGAATATACATCTGAGCTCTGCAATGAAATCAAGCCCTCTTTCATTTCACAGCATTTTTGTCCAACTATTGACATTTTTCCCCCTCGTACACATGCTTGCAATATGGCAAGAGAATCTGACAAAGGATGCGCAACAGAATTGTTATTCTTTAAAGTACCATGAGACATTTTCTTATTTAGGGGGCTACTTTATCCTACCCTCTGCTCCCTGGTAATGTTCAGAGGCATAAATTCAGTCACTGGGTATGATTAATGTTCCCAGGGTGTACTAGATTTATTCCATGTCCTTCAACTAGCAACTACCTTCTCCAGTTAGTGGCAGGAGAAGAAATACCATTAAGAATCAGTCTCATAATTTAAACATTTTAAATTGGCATATGTGAATCTATTCATTAAAGCTGCATATAAAAGGTCAGGAATACTGGATCTGTGACATCTATATAGCACTGGGAACAGAGAATTGACAAACAGCATTCTGCAGAAAGGAGTACCAATATCCACATGTGTCACAATATAAACAGATTTCATGCTTCTACGGTAAGCAGATACAAATACACTAATCCACACCAACACTGTTGCACTAGTTTTCTATATGGCATTTAAAAACATTATCCTGTATTATTCAACAGTACTTATCATATAGTACCTTTTAACCACCAATGAGACATCTACATCATTCATAAAATAAATGTATTGTAAACATGAAATTCTGGGCGCATACTAATTTAACAGTCATTTCCTTCCCTCCAGGGAACCCTGGGAACTGTAGTTCTGTGAAGGGGGATAGGGATCAAACAGAAAATTAATAACACCTTTACCAAGCTAAAATTCCTAGGATTCTCTGGGGGAAGTTTGACAGCATAAAATGTTTACATGACAAATAACTTGGCTATTTCTTGAAAAGCAGTATAGAAGGAATGTTTCTTTGAGAAAATGCTTTAAAGTCTGCCTTTCAGGAACCAGAAATCAAAAAGAGAGTTGAATTAGAACCACAAAGATAAAAACACTCAGTACAAAACGAGGCCCAAGCCACTTCATCAGAGATTCTTTAAAATGAAAAAAACACCGTGATCTACACCAATATGCACTTAAGATACCCTATGTCTTAAGCACCAGTAGCGGATGGTCCATCTAACCTGTACACCAAGACATGCAGCAGACAAGAGAGGTCTACAGTATTTCAGTAGGGTCCAAATTCCCCCTCTGCCATAGAGCTCATCCAGTGACCTTGGACCAGTCTCAGACTCTCTTAACCTCAAGCTGCTATAACCACCTAGGGTAGTTACAAGCACAAAATTAAGCAGAAGAAACATGTGACCAACCTCAGCTTCTTGGACAAAGGGTAGACTTATTTAGGGCATTTTTATTCTACCTCTCCAGATTCCTGCTCAAGGTGGCTTACAAATAAAAGAAAAACAATACTCAAAGAAAAATGCTGACATACACATTTAATTCATTATCCAGCCATAGATGACCTAATATACTTAAAAACAGCAACCTTAGTGACATTCAGTTACAAACACATGATAAGTTCCGACCCCTTGGAGTTGGTAACATTCCCAACCAAGTAGCTTTGAAGTACCATTGACAGCTACCCCTTACTAGCCAATATTCCACCACTCCACAACCCCACAGAAAAGGACAGCATGTTTAATTTTAAGAATACTTTTAGGGCACATCTCAACCACTGCCAACAAGTCCATATGAACTTTCACAGGAGACAAATGAAATGTGGTGGTCTGAAAGGTTCCGAAGGCCAATGACAGATGCCACAACGTGACAAACGACTTTGTTGCAACACATCTAAAGACTGCAGGATCGCCAGATTCTTCCAGATACTCGAGTTCACTTAACGTCCAACATTTGGTGCACAACAACCAAAACCCCTCCACTGGAAGGGGGGGGGGGGACAGATTCCATTCTTCGGGAAGCAGTTGTCAGCTGGCACTTGCTATCCTACCCCGACACACTGAGACTTAACCACGCAATCACCCACCTTCCGTGCAGTGTGTACATACACGCCTGTACGTGTGGAAACACATACACAACCCTATTCACCCAGGTTTGGCCCCCAAGTGAAGATATCAACAACGGTCGGAACATGATTTCACAGACTCTGCCTGGCCACGGGAAAGCACCTGCCATGTCGACGGCTACTCCTTGATACAGCTCACCAGGTAACCCCCAGCCACACAATGCTAGACAAGTAGGGAGGCAAGGAAAGATACTCACAGCGCGGTAGTGCCGTGAAGCAAGGGCGAAAGCAGGCCCGGCTCCAGGCTCCGGCCCGACAGATCGAGACGGCTACAATCCAACAGCCCTCGCCGGCAAGAGCAGGGCGAGGCGTTAGCGCAGGGCTCTCCCGCCGCCCCTTGGAGGAGGAGGAGTAGCAGCGCCAGAAGCGGCGGCACGGGCGCCCCCCGTCCAAGCCCCGAGGCCAGCCGCATCTTCCCTCTTTCTTCCCCGCACCAAAGGCCCAACCAGGCCGCCCCGCTACGAGCTCGACTCCAGCCCCCACCCCCTGCCTATGCGCAGAGCGAGCGCGCAGAGGAGGAGAGAGCGAGGACCTGGATCGACTCTGCGCAGGCGCGCCAGGAAACCAGAGCCGGGATTGAAAGGAGGTGGTTGCTGGGGTAAGGAGGCGGGATAAAGTGACTGCGGGCGGAGCATGGAAAGGACGTCTGTGGTCTCTGGAGCGCGAAATATGAGCTATGCCAAGGGAGGTATGCAGTGTCTTTTAGGTTGCTCTTCCCCATGCACGTTTACTCGAAAGTAAAGAAACAGTTCTGAGGACCGTGTCTTCATTAAACCGTACAGAGGAAGGATTGTAGCCAGTTTGGTGTAGTGGTTAACTGTGCGAACTGTAATCTGGGAGAACCGGGTTTGATTCTCCGCTCCTCCACTTGCACCTGGCTGGATGACCTTGGCCAAGCCATAGTTCTGATAAGAGCTGTTCTTGAAAAAGAGCAGTTTCTGTCAAGAGTTCTCTCAGCCCCACCTACCTCACAGGGTGTCTGTTGTGGGGAGGGGAACGGAACCGAGTTTGTAAACCGCTCTGAGACTCCCTTGGGTAGTAAAGGGCAGAGTATAAATCCAATCTCTTCTTCTCCAGTAGTCTATACCCCGACCTCCGCGCAGCCTTTCTGATAACTTCTCTAACGTTTAGCTTGGAGAAACGAGGACTGAGGGGTGACATGATTGAGGTTTATAAGATTATGCATGGGAAAGAGCAGGTAGAGAAAGAGGTACTTTTCTCCCTTTCTCACAATACAAGAACTTGTGGGCACTCCATGAAATTGCTGAGTGGTCGGGTTAGAACGGATAAAAGGAAGTACTTCTTCACCCAAAGAGTGATTAACACTTGGAATTCACTGCCACAGGAAGTGGTGGCGGCTACAAGCATGGATGGCTTCAAAAGGGAATTAGATGAGCATATGGAGCAGAGGTCCATCAGTGGCTATTAGCCACAAGGTATAGATAGGGACTCTGGGGCAAGTGATTCTCTGTCTTCTTGGTGCTTGGGGGGTGGTCAACAGTGGGAGGGCTTCTAATGTCCTGGTCCCACTGGTGGACCTCCTGATGGCACTGGTATTTCTGGCCACTGTGTGATACAGACTGTTGGACTAGATGGGCCTTTGGCCTGATCCAACATTGGCATCTCTTATGTTCTTAACGTTGCGCTGTTCTCCTTGCGACGGACACGGGAGGATGGGCCATGAATTGCAGTGCACCGGCTGGTTATTTAGCCTGAGCATAGGAAGGGAGATCATGGAATCGGGCTCATGAAACAGCGTTGTTGTTTAACATCATATTCTCAAAACTTTTCATGGTCGAGAGCCCCAGATTCACGGGTTCTGGTGAGTATCTCAATGAAAAAGTTGACTCAGTGTACAGTGGCCAAGAAAAACAAGTAAATTCCATGTACGAGATTTTTTTTTTAAGGTGGTTGGGAATAACAGTATTGGTATGGCAATGCCCTTATACAAGACTTGGCCTGATTTAGAATACAATATAATGTTTTGATCGGAGCATCTCAAAAAGAATATTGAAGAGCTAGAAAAAGAGCAGCCAAAATGATGATGGGGTTGGAACTCCTACCCTCTGAGGCAAGGCTGGGACTTTTTAGTTTAGAAAAAGGGTGACTGAGGACTGACACCACAGAGGTCTACAAAATTATTCATGGTGTAGATAGCGAGAAGCCTTTCTCTCTTTTCTTTAGTACTAGAACTTGGATTCACCCTATGAAAGTATAATGTAGATTCAAGACAAACAGAGGGAACTAGTGTTTCATGCAATAGGTAGTTGACGTGGAACTCACTGCCATGAGATGTGGTGATGACCACTGGCCTAGATGGGTTTAAAACCACCAGACACGTTGTTGGAGGATTTACTTATTTATTTAATGTGATTTGTATTCCGCCCTCCCCGCAAGCAGGCTCAGGGCGGATTCCATCATAAAATTCACAATACAACAAATTGACAGTTAAAATATATCCAAAAACCTATCTAAAAGCAATATTCAATAAAAGACTGGCGCCTCAACAGATTTCAACAAGAAGCAGTTTGTTTCCAGGTAGCCATTCAGATGGACGGGAGGCCAATAGCAAGTGGGCACCCGTGCCTCAACTGAAGGCGATAGAGCTCTGTCTTGCAGGCCCAGCGGAACTGTAATGCATAAATAAATATGTAAAATATAGATGATGATTTTATGGATTTTAAACTGATTATTGTAACATGTTTTTAATATTGTAAATCTGCATTAATTGCAGATACATATATGTCGTTACCCACCCTGAGCCTACAATATGGGGAGGGCAGGCTATAAGTCTAATGAAATAAATAAAATAAATAATAGGTCCTGCAGAACCCTGGTTTCTCATGGGAACTCATTCCACCAGGTAGGGGCCAGGGCCGAAAAAGCCCTGGCCCTCCTTGAGGCAAGTTGGACATCCCTGGGGCCATTAGCCATAATAGCTGAATGGGACCTTCAGTTTCAGAGGCAGAATTTGTCTGATCACAGGATGCTGGGGAGCAGTCAGCAAGTAAAGGCATTATCTATGGGCTCTGCTTGTGGGCTTCCCTCTGACATCTAAACTGGCCACTGCTGGAGAAAAGGGTTCTGGACTAGAAGACCCATGAGTCCGACCCAGCAGGGCTACTCATGGTCTTATCCAAGATGCCCTGGGAAAGAAGCATGTTATGGTGGTGACTTACTTAGGTTTAGTCTTTTTAAAAGGGCAGAAGCAACAGCATGCAAAATAACTTCCTTACTGAATCAGGAAAACAGAATTATGCCAAATGGATACAGCAGATCAGTGTGGTACATAGCTGGGAAGTCATCTGAAAGGTGTGGCCTCATTTAATATTTCAGCTGCACCTATGTAACTTGTTGTAATAAGAGTGTACTGGAATGAACTCACACTGGAGCATATCTGATAAACCTTTGAGCTTGGTTTAAGCCACTGGATCCAAGCAGTATTATACAAGAGAAAAGCTATATCTTAAATTAAGTAGTGACAAGGTTATCATCTTCCAGCTTGCTTAGAGTAAGAACAAGGAGTAAGAACCCTGTGCTAAGGGTTGGCAGGGCTCACATACCTTTAACTGTTGCCTGGTAGAGAGAAATTTAGCATGTCACAGATGACATTTCCTAGTGCTTGAATTTGTTAGATCTGTCTTTGTTAAAGGCACAGGAGCCCTACTGGGAAAATAAAATGGCAACCATAATGATTACAATGATAATTAATAGTAGCTATCAGGGCTCTTTTTGTAGAAAAAGCCCAGCAGGAACTCATTAGCATAATAGGCCACACCCAACAGCAGGAACTCATTAGCATATTAGGCCACATCCCTGACAACACAGCTCATTACCACATTAGGCCGCACCCCCATGTTACCAGAAGTGTGGTTATCCAGCCACACCCACCTTTTGCTTGTTATTCTGTTTACCTTGTTTGTTGTCAAAACCCAGGGCTTTTTTGTAGCAGGAACTCCTTTGCATGTTAGGCCACACACCCCTAATGTAGCCAATCCTAATGAGTTTCTGCTGTTGGGTGTGGCCTATTATGCTAATGAGTTCCTGCTGGGCGTGGTCAACTTGGGAGCCAGCCGGAACTCTGTTCCTGTGCGTTCCTGCCCAAAAATAGCCCTGGTAGCTATAATAGACCTACCCACTCAAGTTGAGTACTTCTACGTCCTGTTGGCTTCAGTGGAAGAAAATGAAATGTATTGCTCAGGGGTGTCAAACTTATCTGGCCCACGAGTAACTAGTGTGAGGGAGGGAAGGCAGAAGGCTGCTGGAGGGAGGGAGGTGAGCAGGCACGCACAGTAAGGTGTATGTGGTTGAAGCTGTCAGGAAATAGAAAAGTGGTTGCTAGGGGGCAGGACTTTGAGGCTGAGGCAAAATGGGGGGAATGGCAGTGAAGGCGGAGAAAGAGATGGATGGGGCTGGCAGGGGAGCGAGGAGGAGGAGGAGGACCACCAGTGCAAGGCAACTGGGCTGTCTTGTGCATGTCCCTCTGAGGGGAAAGACATCTTGGCCTCAAAGTGAGTGGAAGAGTAAAGGGGAAAGGGGGCACCACTGTCACCGCCACCAGTCTGAACAAGCATGGAGCCAGAAGGCAGAATGAGTATTGGGTATGGTGACCCTTTTCCCTCCCACCTGTTCTTAGCCCATGAGGGAAAAGGGGTACCGGAGGACAAAAAGCACCCCTTGGAGGTTTTGGAAACAGCCTCTCTGTCAGGCCTTCCCCTCAGCCCCACCTCTTCTGTGGGAAATGCAGAAGGGGATCTGGAGAAGCCAGGTTCAGAACCCCCCCTTCTGAGCAAGAATCCTGTCATCCGGGTCACCCGGTTTGTCAGCCTGGACCACCTCACAGGGTTGTTGTTGTTGGCAGGGATGGGGCGGTGGACAGGGAAGTCCAGTGTGCCTCCTCAAGATCCTCAGAGGTATGACGGGAAGAGAGGAAACAAAAAGCAAGAGATGGATCGTAGCCATGCTTGACTGCTGATGCTGGGCACATCATGATGGTGGAGGGGTTGCTGAAAAACAACCTTATTCACTTGCAAGGAATATGACTTGTCTCCTAAAGCACTACATATACAAAAAATAACTAATTTGTATGGAAATGTAAGATATCCTCCCTTTTATGGTGTCCTTTTGAAAAAACCTAGTCTTGTATGATTATGCATGATTAAATACATTTATTGGAGCTTTTGTGGGTTCCCCAGTAAATCGTTTTTAGGAATCAATTGCTTTTGATTGTATTTTGAGTAAAAATAATATCGTTCATTGGGTTTGTCTCTGTCATATATGAAGTTTATATCTCCGGTACCTGGCATTACATTTTATGTCACACATGGCCCGGCCCGACAATGTAACATTTATGTCAGATCCGGCCCTCGTAACAAATGAGTTCAACACCTCTGTCACAGCTTATTTTTTAATGAATCAAATGCTTTGATTTTGTTAGATCACCAAAGGTATTGTGTACTTGTAGACAGGA